ACACAGAATTAGAAGCAGGCTCCAGGCTCTGAGCCGTCAGCACACAGCCCGACTCAGGGCTCGAACCCACGAGAGATCGTGACCTGAGCTGAAGCCGGACGCTTAACCACCTGAGCCACCCAGGCGCTCCGCAAATACGTTTTTTTGAAGTTCACAAGTATATGCTTCCAGAGACCTCCTGACATAGCACCAGCAGCGAGTATGCTCCCTAGTTGGAGAACAACTAGGGTAGGTTATTTCGGTTTTCCCAGAGATAACCCTCCATACAGAGACGGCGCTATGAGCGGCACTCAGCGTGAGGAGGAAAAGTCAACACTGACTGCTTTCGAGCCTAGGGACGTGGTGGCATTAAACATGTAGAGAGGTCACCTGGGCCTGGTTTGAAGAAGAAAGAGAAGGTAGAAGAGAATAGAAGTCTGGGAAACTGGCAGGCATCCAGGTGAAGACAGAATTCGGGGGTTGAGGGGACAGACGGACGTGAGAGAGACTTGGAACTCCATAAAGGGCGGCAGGCAGTTTAGAGCAGGAAAGTACGTCAGAATCCTGAAAGACCGCTGCACATGTAAAAAGGAGAATGCAGCAAACAGGAAGCCCCGTGCAGAGGAGGAATGTAAATGGAACCGGGTGGAGGGAGGACGCAGGACAAGGTGTTGTGATCATACAAACATTTACGGCTGGATAATTGCCAGAGCGTCTCCACTCCAACAGGTTGTGAAGACAGAGAACTCGAGAAGAGATGTTGTCATTGATACTTTATTAATTTGAGGGTGCGTTTTGAGCATTAAGGTCAAGGAGCAGAAGAGCGAACTAGTGGAAAGAAAGTAAAGGCAAGAAATTGAGCCTAGAGCAGTGATGGCCAGTACAGCAGCCGCCTGGCCACGTAAAGAGCCTGCTGAGCGCTCAAAACGTGGCTTATGTGATTGAGGAGCTAAAATTGTGATGTTATGTGCTTTTAGTTCATCTAAATATAATTAGCCACATGTGGCTAGCGACTGCCTGCTGTGTTGGATAGTACAATTCTAGGTGTTTTAGTTTTGGGGCAGAAAGAGTTGACTGGACGCAGAGAAAGGCTTCTTACAAAAGAAAGAGGTATGTGAGAATAGATAGATGTTTGGAAAAAAGTGAGGTCTTTTACTTCCGGTCGCCTGTCTCTCTCCCTGGGCGTGACTGGTGTGAGGGAGGACGGAGCCAGCAGAGCAGAGTGAAATTTGAAACAGTGTGTGGTGCTTAATTCAGTCTTCCATTTAATACAGAAGCCATCCTGTTACTGGGGCCTGGACTGGCTATGGAAATGGGGTCAAGAAGCCGCATTGGTAATCCCAGAGCAAAGCTCTTGATCTCTTTAACTTTTCCCTCTTAATTCTTTTTTCTTTTTTTAAGTTTATTTATTTATTTTGAGAGTGAGAGAGAGAGCGTGCACGTGCATGAGCAGGGGAGAGGGAGAGAGAATCCCAAGCTGGCTCCATCTGTGCCGAGCCCAAGACCGGGCTCAAACTCATGAACTGTGAGATCGTGACCTGAGCTGAAATCCAGTTGGATGCATAACCAACTGAACCACCCAGGGGCTCCCCATCTTAATTTCTAAGGTTGAACCACAGGCTGGTGGGTTAGAGTCCTTTTCTACCCTTCCTTACCCTTGTTCGGATGAGGCATGACACGGTTCGGGAGCGTTCACTGCCCTGTGGTTTTGGGCAGCCTCGTCTCAGCCTTGCCCAATCTCTTTCTTTCTCTATGGTACTGCTTGACCACTCCCCAGCTTTAATATTAGG